ATGCCGGTGAAATTGAACAGGCCAATGGCGGACTGGTCACTGCGGGATTGAAACAACCAACATCGGCCCGCAGTCGGCACACGGCGGCGTATCGGAGCTCCATTCTAAATCATCCCACGGTTCACGGCTCCTCGTTGCGATCGGCGGCCCGAATGCCGCGATGCCGAAACAGGAAAAATGAGCACTGAGACTTTCAAGGCTTGGAGGAGGAAGCTCAGTCAGAATAGCCAGTGGTATGCTCAGGTGATTTGAGTAAGCAGGATTGATATTAGATGCTCGGTCTGGGCGCAGCACTTCCTGTACTGCTTCAAGTTGCAAACATCGATAGGCCAAAAAGGAACTGGGAATCTATCGCCTGGTAGCACAGTGGTTAATACGCCTTTGTGCGCTGAAGATTTCTTTTTTACCATTCAGGATTCTGTTCGAATTAGAGTCAGACAATGCACGTGCGCAGTGCAGTCAATTTTTTTCCTTCTTCTTTTGTATTTCGAGCATTCTCACTCTTTCGCCGTCTTGTTCTCCTCCCTTTTTTTCCCTCAGACGCATTGCATTGAACAGGAGATAAATGAATCACCCATTTTCCCAGCCTGTTCCAAGTCTCGGTTGAATCACATTATTATCCCTGCTAATTTTTGCAAACCCCCTCAAGCCAAAGCAAGCATGTCTGAATCAATTGCCTAGTAGCAAAATGGTTAGTGCATCTCTCCATGCTAGCAGTTGTAGATGCCACCTGCACAGAGGACCTCTGTTCGAATCAGAGTTGGGCCATACACACACTACAGTATGCTCGAGTTTTTTCTGTCTTCAGCTTGTCGCCAACCGAGGTGCATTTGCCGAGTCTTCTCGTAGATGGACGCCGCGGCTGCGGCAAAAAATCTCAATCACATGTTCTAGCGAACTGTTGCAAAAATACCAGGTTGAACCTTTGCGGCCAGGATCGAACCGAACCATAACAGCACTCTACCTGGACTGCACATCGGCCGTTCCTGACCCGCCGTCTGACGGATTAACCGGCAGTCGATAATCATGACTCCGCGTATTTGTGCCCTCCCTTGGGCTTTAACGACCCTTGCTCTCTTGGACATTTCTCGGTTCCCCGCGCGTTCTACGTCGCTTGGAATTTGGGACTATTAGATCATTGTTTTGACGGTCGTGGCGCTACATCCGACGCGGAGCAAATGTCAAGTCAACGGTCGACTAAACACAGGCATTATTATCCTCCCGAGTCCTCCTTAGCGCACTGGCCGAATTACAAGCCCATTGGAAATTTGCCGCGAGGATCGGTACTGGATATCAATATCTTGATTGTGTGCTGCTTCAAGTTCTTTTGCCAATGGCTGGACAAGAACTCGGCACATTGTCTATTTATCGGATACCACCACCATCATAGTCCGGACCTTGATACCCTTACAAACCCATCTGAATGCCTTACACTCATCCGTCTGAAATCCCTCATTACCATATTTTTTCTCAATACGGCACAAAGCCTCGGTTTCATTTACTTATCTTTTCTCTCTCATTTCTTACTCATAAAACGCACTCCCAAAAACCACCACTCAGAATACCTCCAATTACCTACAAACGTACAGCTATCGTGGCCTCCTGGCTAATTGTAGTTACCAATGAATATCAAAATCAAAATCAAAATCAAACATTGTCTCGCCTCATTTTCAACCTCATAAATGCCAGGTGCGTGGTGCCACTAACACCTCCTTGAAGGCCCGGGGTAAATCAACCAGGGACGAGGTATCGCCTTGGGGCAACGATTCATCTAACATTGCTCTTGGCTTGCCTGAGTTGCCTTGGCTGGTCGCGATGATGGCTTGGAACCGGTTCCCGCGGTTTTCTCGGTCATCTCCGGGCCTCTGCATACGCGGATTTATTCCAACATCGGATCCCTAATGATTCTACTTCCACAGTGCGAAAGGGTTCCATAACTTGAAGATTTTGTTTTTCAAGGGGGGAGTTGGCTTTTGTTAAAAGAAGTAGGCCTTTGATTAGAAGTTGTTTCAGCAAAGGCCAGCTTGTTCCAACCTCTTTGAAACAAAAACTTTCACACTGTGGTAAAAGAATAATAATAAAAGGATTGCTTCGCCACTTACAGTAGTTGGGATTGTTTTAGCGTTAATTTCAAAGTTGTTCGATGCAGGCTGTTTCAACCAAATGGGAATCTGCCTCTGGTTGTACTGACTCAACGGTGCTTTCACAATATTTTGTAATGAGGTGATCCATTTTTTTTTAAATGCGTATCTAAGTACTCATCTACTAGTTTGGAAAGATGTGGCGGTGCTCCGGTCCGTACAGCCGGCCTTTGCTTCAAACCACAACAATGAATTTGGAAAAGACGACTTGAGAACTTTGGTCGAAGCCCGGCACGACAGGACTGGATTCTATGGGTGGCTTTGTTGCTTTTGGTACTCCTCGTGTCACCAGAACCTCACCAAGTCTCTATTTGCCCCCGACATTCAGCGCTCCCGGCGGATTTGTAATTTGGCCTCGGTGAACTCAAAATCCGGGTTGATCACTCTCTTCCCTGCGTATCGGCATTTCTTTCTTTTGCTTTGCTTCTCCCGATCCTTCACGGTCCGTCACGCCAAGCAAAATTCATCAAGGTACTCTCGAATCGGAAATGCACGACGGGCGCCTTGAATCCGGATTCAACGTTCATTGGCGCACTTTGGGCGCAGTTCGGGTCCCTGCAATTGAAAAGGCTCACTCTGGCGGAAAACCCCTCTTCCTGCGCCTTCGCCAACCGGAGCACATGGACATCCCAAGTTTTCGGTCAACTGTCGAACACCCGGAGTGACTTTCGTTCCTCTCGACCTTCTGACTTGTCCAAAGATTGATGTTCCGCTCAATGATTCGGGCTTGTGGATGGCCCTCAAGTTTTGTGACTCCAATTCGGGAATCTTTACTCAACTCGCTGCTGGGAGAAAGGGTCTTGCTCGCTGCTGCTACTTCTCCTGGACAGCGATTACGGGTGGGCGAAAGCACTTGCAAGCTATTTTTGCGGGGCTGTGGAACTCGGTGCTGTCTTGCTAAAGTTGGGGTGACGTGCGAAACATTGTTGGAAGTCGCATTACAAGAGTCTCTCCACAGCATGCCATATCCCTGTCCTATGCCAGCGCTAGGCTCATCTCGACCTCCTGTGATTCCTCCTCTCGCGACTCAAACTTAGCCTCGCGTGCGAAGCCCTTGCACGATAGCGGACAGTACTGCACAAATATTCGCTTAACCACCCCGACCGCACGTTTGTTTAGCATCAATATTATGAAGGTATTGTGCGGCAAATTCCTTTCCACAATTCACCAAATGACGCCGCTATGATGTTTAAATTCTCCAAGGCGGTCATCCAACGCGACCCCCCATCCTGTTTGGGAATAGCACCGCTTGACTGTCTTTGGGAGCAGCTCCAGCATTGTCGGAATAGCCGGCCGGACATGCGTCCAAACCACCGCTCAAATTCTTGAGCGCCTCCTCGTCCCTTCGATTGGAGCAAACCACCACCTTATCCTGGAATAACCAGTTTCCGTGCAAAATTCGTCGTTCGTTACAAGACCGGCCGCTACTGCCATCAAACCAAATTGAACGTATAATTTTTGGTAACGGTCAGTTCCGATTTTATCTGCACTTCTTCCGATCTGAATTTCTCATACAAGAGGTGCACAGGGTAGAGAGTATTAGTGTCTTGAGAAAATCTACTGACGAGCGGCGCAGCGTGCAAAGAATTTTACCCGCGAATTGTCGGAATCGCAAGACAAGACAGATAGGCCGTACGGGATCCGATCCGATGCGACGTCGCCATCGCTGAACATTTAGTAGGTGCTGCCAAGCGGCCGCACGAAAATATCGGCCAGACCTATTCACCGCCGGCTAAGACATTGAAAGTAGACATTGAAAGTTTCGACTACGTTAGGTTTTCATCTGTAACATAGTATCTGCAAGACATTTACCTTTAGGTGCTTTTTCTTTCCGCTAGCCTGAGAGGTACTGTTTAAATTTGTAATCCGCTAAATAAAAAAAGCCAAGAAACGGTACAATTGGCAAGCAGAGAAACTAAAATGAGGGCCAAAGTGCCGGACCAAGAGATAAGTCTGGAGACGGGGCCGCACTTTGTAACCGCAACTCTCAGGCCACAGTTGGTGATTACGTCAGAGGTTACACCTCATGCCCTAGTCCGCGCCGAGGTAAATCAACCAGGGATGAGGTATCCTATTGGGGCCACAATCTCATTCAACATTGCTCTTGGCTGCGCCTGCGAGCGAGTGATTGTTTGGGTTGCCGCAAATTTCTCGGTACCTCTGCGTATGCGGATTGATTCCAACATTTAACTTGTGCTTGAGGCCAACGCTCCGCGTGGCAGTACGAGTCCCCATTTGGCTTCCCGGCTGATTTCGGTCGCCGCCCGACATACTTATTGATCTGCAGCGAAATCTTGAACATATGTACACAATGTGTTCGGTTCAATTTTTTTTGGGATTCTGCAGTAGGTAGGCAGGTCGACTACTAAAGATCCGACCCTTTAGGACCCCGCGGCGCGACTCTTTGATGGAGTATTCCAAGTTCTTTGTGTCGACTCGGAGAATACATGATACGCAATGCTTCCTTGTCAAATTCTTTGGGATTCCGTGGGAGGTCGACAAGGTAGATTTTTCACCACCAAAGGTCCGACCCTTTAGGACCCCGCGGCGCGACCTTTGATGGAGTGCTCTTTTATTCCACCCACAAAGCCTCGAGAATACATGTTACACAATGGGAGGCATACGTAGCAAGGAAGACAACAGATTTTCATTCTATCATTCCTCTCAGTATACAAGGTCTGCACCATTCTTTCAACCACCAGGATCTTGAGGATTGTGTGGTAAGGCAGATCAATGGAAACTCACCGGGAGAGCTGGGGAGAAACACTAAGAGAAGAACAAACTCAACAGGAACAGCGTATGTATAAGTGAGCGCCAGAGGTATGGTGGTATGAGACAAGAAGTAAGTGACGTCACGGTCACGATACGTAAGTAGTAAGCAGCGGGCTTACACCCTTCCCCTCCAAGGTAAATCAGCCCCACCCGTCCGAAAAAAAGGGAAAAGGAATAAGGGTAGTACGTAAAAACTGCTCCGCGGGTGCATCAAAAACAAATCCCGAAGGACCAAAAAAAAGCTATCGGGGCAGGCACATGAAAGAAAGAGAACAGGACATGTACGCCAGGCCTTCCTTCAATCTTTCGTTCGTGCGAGCCAGCGGTCGAGTGCCTCCGCGTCGGCGAGTTCGCGTCCAGGGAGCCATAAGTCGCTTTCGGGCCATAGCCGTGAATCGGACGAGGTACTGCCAACCCTTTCCGCGTTTCCGTTCGTCCAGTATTTCGTCGATATAGTACTCCTCCTCGCCGTCGTTGTTCAATATGGGTCCAGCTCAGGGAGTTTGCGCGATGGGAAAAGGTCGTTATCGTTCTCGACGTAAGGTTCTAATTCAGAAGAGTGAAAAACGGGAAAGATGTTCGGCTGGTTTGGCATATCCAGCATGAAAGTCGAGCACTCAGCATGTTTATCAACAATCTTGTATGGACCGTCGAAACGGGCGATGTATTTGGCGACGCGATTGTCGCCCTTCTTCAAGAATATCCGGCGACGGTGTTCCGTAGAGAGCTTCACGCGGTCCCCAATTTTCAGGTCGTCGAAGTCGGCGCGCCGGGTTTTGTTCGCCTGTTCGGCCTGGCGCCTGGCACAGCTTCGCTGTCAATAGGTTGTCTTGTGCGTTGGCGACATCCACCTCG